CTTGCAAGATGTTTCAACTGCAGCAAAATTAAATTACATCTAACTGTTCTTTGCTTGGAATGCAAATGCTTAAGACCCTTAGTTTGGGACTGACACAGAAGAAGGAAAATATTTATCTTTATGAAACCAAAAAGTTAGTTGAGCAATGAGAGCCAGAGAGTTGTGTTGCTTCATAGCTGGGATTACAGAATTAGTGTTTTGTCTATCAGATGTCGTTAGATGTTTGCTTTCTGCTGGCTGTGGATTGTTTGACTGTGTCCTCTTGAGGGACTGAACTCTGAAGTCATTTGTAGGGATCACGTGAGATTTCTGTACACTTTGGCTGGTGACTGGCAATCAAAAGGCTAATAAGGGAAGTTAAACACAGAAGTTTCGGTTCATGTAATACCATTGAAAAGCTGGAAAAGAGGTAAATTTTGCTACTGAAAAAGATGAAAGTATCAGGGTTATGGACTCGAAGTACAAGGTTTCTGTCTCCTGTTGCGGGATTTGCTCCGAATTTTCTCAAATCTGTGGGACTTTATTGCAAGCTGATTTATTGCAATTATTTCTCAAGCTGAGAAAGCCTTTTTCTAATACCTACTTGCTCAAAAATGCTTCTTATGTCTTGAGAGTTGTGGGATAATGCTCCTGTGTGGATATTGTACATGGGCTGTCCATAGTGAAAAATTATTTATCGAAGTGGCATCACACCTGATGGACAATATGCTGATTTCTGTGGCAGAAAATCAGAGCTGCACTCTGTTTTATCTTGACATGTTATAGTAAACAGACCTGTATTAAAAGTGTGTATTCCAGTAAGTGTTTGTTTGCAGGATATTCATTTAAGTACATCTAGATCAGTTACAGTAATTGAGCTCTACAGGCCAAGTTAGAATATATTAAATGTCTTCCTATTTTTTGTTGTGTTGCTAGTAGTAGTAATAGGAGTATGACAACATTTATGGTGTTTTTGTTTCTTTCTACTTGGCCAAGAATATGATTTGTACTTTGAACAACTTTGTTGCTTGTAAATAAAATATCAGTAGGTATATTTACTTTCTATTTAGTAGTAGCTGAAGCTCTGAAGTTGTAGCGAAAGGAAACCTCTCCCTGTAAGCTGAAAGGTTTTCACAGCAATGACTTACATTAGAACATTGTCTTTATTTAAAGATTAGAAGATAGCATGAAAGCATTCTGCAGCTGCAGCTTGTTCACCGTACTGAAATGCTTTTGTTCTTCTTTAGTATTTAAATGTTCATGCAAACTCCTCCCATCCTGTCTACTTTGTGTTTAGATTGGTGAAAGACAAAAAAAAAAAAGGTAGAAATGACTCCGAGAGGACAGCCAGAAAATTGGTTAATACATAATATGTGCTCTTTGAGCTCTTCTGTGTGGAGGATTATGTGAACACAAGGTTGAAAAAGCAGAAGTGTTCTGCTGCTGGAGGCAAAGGGGTGGTTATGGGAGGGGTCTTGCCAGGGCAGATCTTCACTTGCCATGTACCTGCAATATTTGATTAAGACTGTAAAGATGTTTTGATGCACTGTGGTGTGTTGTTCTCCAATGTTAATATTTCAAAAGCCTTCACTGAAACACAGAAATGCTCTTAAATTTTGGTTTAAGGCACAGAAACAAAACAACAGGGACAGTAGTTGTTCTGATAAGTCAGTCACTGAGGGGTTGATAAGAGGACTGGAGCATCTCCACTACAAAGACAGGCCGAGAAAGTTGGGGCTGTTCAGTTTGCAGAAGAGAAGCTTGTGTGGAGTCCTTATAGCAACTTTCCAGTGTCTGAAGGGCCTAAGGGAAACTGGAGAGGAACTCTTGGTTAGGACCTGCAGTGATAGGACAAGGAGTAATGGGTATAAATTGAAAGATGGGAAATTTAGGCTAGATCCTAGGAAGAAGTTTTTCCCTGTGAGGGTGATTGAGACCCCGTCCCAGGTTGCCCAGGGAGGCTGTGGTTGCCCCAACCCTGGCAGTGTTCAAAGCCAGGCTGGATAAGGCCCTGAGCAACCTGCTCTGGTGGGAGGTGTCCCTGCCTGTGACGAGGGGGTTTGAAACTAGATGATCTGTAAGGTCCATTCCAACCCCTTAACGCTCTGTGATTCTCTGATCCCTTCCCTGTGCTGGTAGTGTGAGAGGAAGTAAAATCCTGACTGTACTGGAAGCTGAGCAGTACTGTAATTCCCACTCAGTTATATCCTGATTCTTTTATTCTTATCAAAAGACAGGGAATCTGTTGGTTCTGATATTAATACCATTATTAAAGATATGGCATTAATGTGCATTAAAGTGCTCTCCAAGTGTAGAATCTTCTCTTCCAGCAGACCTTTCTTGTCTTGCATCTGGCACATAGATACTTGATGCTATTTGCTAATGCAGAAGGCAGTCTGACTCCATTTAGTTTATTTCCTTTTTGTCTAACAGCATCATTAATTATACTGTGAGAGTTGTCTGTGCTGTGGCTGTGATCAGAGGAGAGGGAAAAACAGAGCAGACAGTCTTTGGATGCTGTAGGAAAAGGGCTGAGGTGTTTGATATCTTTGCTTTGGTGGGTTGGTTGAGCATAGAAAACTGTCACAATTTGTGTTGATTCTGAAAAGCAGATTCACTTGTTCTGCATACTCCAAACCTGTTCCAGGAAGCCTTCACTGCATGGTAGGGTAGGGAAGCAGAAACTCCAGCATCACTCACTGATGTGCAGCTTTGGGAAGGGTTTGTGGTAGCAGCTAATCCAAAGATTTTGTAACTGAGCTTGAAGTAAAATTAAGCACTACTTGTGAATTGTAAAGATTTAATGCTTGGAGATTATTTTCTGACTAGCATTTCCAGTTGCCAGTGAAGGTGAGAGTTACCAGGTGTCTGCTGTGGCAAAAAGTTAAAAAATTCAGAACTCTTACACTGGTACAGCAACATTTTAATGTGATTTCACCTACAAAACTGAAGAAATGTCTAAGGATATCTGAGCATGCTTCCTAGCTAAGAGAGTGATTATACACAGTTTGCCTTTTTTATAATCAGCAGTGGGTAACAGACTTAATTTTTTGGGGCTGTCAGTCCTCAGCTAACTAGTTGGAATATTTGTGGTATGTGTGTGTATATAGTGTGTGCATAGGCATAAAATCTCTTGAGCTTTGATTTAAGATCTTAGAGTATACATGTGAGACAAAGATGGGATGTAGGCACGTGTGTTTATAAGGTTTGATGTGAAAAGGATCTCACCACTATTTGCATGCAAGGAATTTTTAGGAGTGGGTAGGATTTCTGATGAGATGAAGAGAAAAAGCAGGTAAACATATTGAAGTCTGGTGTTCATTCAACAGAAGGCTGTCATTTCCGAAACTGGAAGTAATTTAATCATGTTGGTATCTGGAGTAGTTAAATGAGATCATTTGCCATAATTACTTCATGTCTAACAAGGTCTGTCGCCATTTGGATTTTATGTTATGATTTGGAGCCTAAAAGGGAAGGAGCTTAACCACTGGATGTAGAAATAATCAATATATTTCATTATTAAGATTTGAGCAGAGGCTATTTCAAATGTGTGTTTAAAACTTTTCTCTCAAGCTGAACCTTTTTTTGTGGTCCTTTTACTACACTGTGCTACCTGTGTATGTGACACAAAGCAGCAGCTTTGGCTATCCCAAATGACTACATTTGTCGTGTGTTACTGTTGGAACAGAACCATTTAAATACTTTCATTAATTATTTTTGCTGTTCCATTTTACTCAGCTGGAAGGAAAAGCTGTTCTATAATTAAGGAGCTATTTCCAAGAAAGTAGGTAGCATTAAAACTGTTATTAAAGGATCATTGCACAAGAGGTGAATATTTGTGGTTGTTGCCTAGTACAGTGCAAATGAGTTAGAGTAATCTCTGTCCAAAGAAGTTGCTTGTTATGGAACATCTGATTGCTCCAGAAAAGCAAAGGTTTTGGTGATTGCTGGTTGTCAGGCAGAGGGCACAGGGTAAGGGGCTGCTGGGTGAGTGACAGCCGTGGTTGGGTACTTGCTTTAGCCAAGGAGAGACCTAAAATTGACTTAAGTACTACAGACTCACTTACATGATGTTATGCAAAAAGCCATGTTTGTGATACATTGCATTAAATCACTGATTCTGCCTGTGTATCTATCTGCATATCCTACTGCTGGGAAGTGTGTGCTGCTATGGGTGTTAGTGTTATTGCACTTACCTTTGTCTCTTTCTGCAAAGCAACCAAAGAGGCTCTGCTGGGATTGGATGGTGTCTGAAGTCAGCACCAGGATACACACGTTGTGTATAGCATTGGGTAGTCTTTGACTTTTTTCTCTGAAAGATAGGCACGGCTTTTGAATCATAATTAATTTACCTGAAGGGTTTTGGTGTATTACTGATACAAGACTGCGTGGAGACCTCATAGCAACTTTTCAATATCTGAAGGGCTACAAGGGAGCCCTGTGAGGGTGGTGAGACACTGGTACAGGTTGCCCAGGGAGGCTGTGGCTGCCCCAACCCTGGCAGTGTTCACAGCCAGGTTGGATAAAGCCTGGGGCCACCTGATCTAGTGAGGAGGTGTCCCTTCCCATGACAGAGGGTTGGGACTTGATGATCTGAAAGGTCCATTCCAACCCCTAAATTCTATGATTCTATGATATGATTCTGTGGTATAATTGGAATTATATCAGACTTGAATTAGGGAATTAAGCTGTAGAGCCAAATCTTACCACATTTTATGGTAACAAGTTTACTTTCATTGTCTGTCTGTTTGGAAAGATAGATTCTGTCCATAGTCATTGATTCAATTACCTTACTTAAGATTTTGATAAAGCAGGTTACCAATAAATTAGGTTCGGATTTCATTTGGGTTTTCTTTTTTTTGTTGTTGATTTGTTTTTTCCCCGAAAATGATCCCAGCTAAAAAAAAACCCAAACCCCTAATGTGTCATGTAAACTTATTTTTCTTAATCAGTTTATTAAGTTCTCGGTGATGAGGTATGTTGGCAAATGCTAAAAACCTGTACATTTTGTTCTCTTCCAGTGCCTGATGACCTCTCCATAGAAGAAAGGGAAGAGCTTTTAAACATTCGTCGCAGGAAAAAAGAGCTGATTGATGATATTGAGGTAAGTGATTTCTCTGTAAAGGTCCTTGGAAGACTGCAGTGGATTGAGTTACTGTAAGCTGCATACTAGATATGAGTTTCAGGTAATGCTTTTAAAAGCATGTAAATGGCTTAAGCTAGTGCTGCTGATAGTGAATAGGATTTATGCACCATATGTGTGCATTTAAAAATGGTAACTTTTGAGATTATGTAACATCATGTGCACATGTTTGTGTAACCAGGAACTCATTAAACAGCAGATTGGCATTCAGGATAGCGGTGAGAGAGAGAAATCTGGGTAAAGAAATCTTATACTGTAATTGATAATGGTGATTTGGCTTTGGTGCTCTGACACGAGCACACACAGGGAGTTCAGATCCATATGTTCAACAGTCAGTTGTTGTCAAATCTGTATCTAAGGAAGCCCTAGGAGTCATCATTTTCTTCAGGTAACCAGTAAATATTAGAAAATAAAACCTAACAGATCATACTGTTACATGACAGATGATTTCAGAAGGTGCTTTAATGTAGGTTAATGTATTGTCTTTCCTTCTTTTGACAGAGATTAAAATTTGAAATTGCTGAGGTTATGACCGAAATTGATAATCTGACTAGTGTAGAAGAAAGGTAAGTAATGCCAGTGTATGGGTGTGATTCAGTAAGACCTTGGAACAGGTCTTCCAGGAATTGCAAATAAAAATAGCTTTCTCATGCTAAACAAACTTTATTTACTCTGCTATAAGGTCTCTAAAACCTGACTTTACCCTATTCAGGTGTATCACTTGTTGGGAGAGAGAATATATTGGATAGGGTGTAATAGTTGAGACTGTCCAGTTGATAAGGACATAGATCTCTGAAATTGTAATCACTTGAAGGAATTGGAAATAGTAGCATCATTTTCCTTATAAAAAGGGAATGTCTTGTTTATGTAATAGAAGATACCAGATATCCAAAATACAAATTAAAATCTTATCCAAAATACAAATTAAAAGCTTATGCATTTGTAAAAGAGTATCTGATAACTGCTTGTCATTTCTTCTTTTTCTCCCTATGTAGCAAAACTACACAAAGAAATAAGCAAGTAGCCATGGGAAGGAAGAAATTCAATATGGACCCTAAGAAGGTAAAGAATTATTCTTCTACTTGTCAGGAGTCAAGTTTCTGCTTGTAATACAAATCTATGACAAAGACATTAATGTTTTTATTAAGAAACGTTTCTGATAATGTGAGTTCACAGGCCTTATTTGCATATCCTGTAACTGAGCAGAGGGTTAAATTGGGATCAGTCATCTACTCGTTTGCCAGTCATGTGCTTTTTTTCACTTGAGCAAACCTTTTTTGATTGTGGAGGTTACTTACCAACAATCTAATATGCCAGGGGTTGATTGAGCTTGCATTAAGATTATTTGCACCTGATAGAGGTGTTCTGTGTTGATATGTCAAAATTAATTCCAAAAACATTTTGATGGTTGGTTATTAGTGAGGCCATACCTGTATTTATTCCAAAATACCTTTTCAATTTGTTCTCAGACAGACTTTTATATTTGCATATCTAAATTCTATTTGTGAAAGAGGTGTGTGTGAACATCTGTATGTTTGTATACATATAGATGTGTACCTGTCTGACTTGCACAAACACCTGCAGGTACAAACCTGGTTACCAGTTTCAAGGAGTCTACTGAGCATTTAACCAAATAGTTCATTTCTTAGGAGTACCTCTATGTTTCTTAAATAATTGCTCATTTTCTGAAAAATTCAGAGACCTGCACATTCTCTTGCAGACCTCCTCCCAGATATTTGAGATGCTTTTACGTATTCAACCTTTACTTTTAACTTTTCTTCTTCCTTGCTTTGTTTTCACTGTCTTTTGTTTGTAATTGAGTTTCCATTTTGAATTTGTGAAGAGTATTCTTTAAGGTCTTTTTGGAAATGGTTCAGCATTTGTGTTTCTGTGTTCCTGACTTGTTTTTTTTCTGATGATATTGAATTCAGTTCCATTTTGGTGGCTTTTCTGAAGTGTTCCAAGTACAGTGATGGCTACTGTTCTTCAGGCTGTTTTCAGTTTGCCAGGAATTCTCATGTACTTTGAGATAAAGAACCTTTTAAAACTGCTAATCATTTGTTTTATTTTTATTTTCCACTTTGGTGACTGCCTAACTTCTGTTCTGTTGAGGGCAGAACACCCCCAAATATCCTGGTAGTTTGCTGTTATCCTCCAGCAGCTCTTTGATGGAATCACAGAATGGTTTGGCCTGGTAGGGACCTTAAAAATCATCTACCTCCAGCCCCCTGCCGTGTCTTAGAAGTTTGTGGCAAAGTTACAGCATGATGTCAGATGCTTTCATTCCAATGTTAACTATTTTACTCTTGCTGGATGAAATAATTTCTATAAATAGATGCTGAGGCCACATTAGTACTGTAACATAATTTAAATATGGTAAACAGACTTAGAGTAGTAATTTCTTAATAAGGTCTGTGGATCAGTGGTGGCTGCAGTAGCTGCTGCTCTAAAGCTAGAGCATCGTGGTGTTTGCAGCTGCTGCTCTAAGTTACAGACAGCTAAAATATATGCTGGGAAAACTAACTTGGGTTCACAGCCTAAAGGATGTTTTTCCTTCATAAATGGGAGAGAAGAAGGTCTCTGGAGGTAGGAATGCTAAAGAAATAGAGTAATAATACTTGGGCTGAATCCACCAAGTTTTCTCCTTTAAAACCAAGGTTTTCATGTTAGCAGGAACACAGTGAGGTAATTTTCTTTGACCACTTTGTTTGATGATCTTTCCATGTTCTAGTGTGTATGTAGAGCAGTTCTCCCTTCCCCCTCTGGAAATCCTTATTCCAAATATCTGTTTGATGCAGTTGCAGGATATAATACCACGTCCCTTGGTGCTTGGATTTGCTTAGATAGTGTGGGAAGAATCCCCATGCAGAGGACGTAAAGTTGTGCTTGGAATTCACAGTGCTGAAGTCAGTACTGCCTGTGTTGGAGTGAACATTGAGTATTTCTGTAGCCCTGAGTTTTGTGTGGGGAAGTTTAAGTAGTACAGCTGTCTTGCATCTCCTGGCAGCCTGCAGAAATGAAATTTGCATGAAGACAAAAGATAGCGTAGGAGGTGATGGGGGTTTGGCTGGCCTAGTTTGTCATGTATTCCAGATGCTGGAGTTGTTGTCCCAGACAAATTCCTTTTCCTGTCTATTTGACTTCTGGTTCTTTAACAAGTTAAAAATAATTTTTTTTAAAAAAACATGAAAAAAATCCAGAAAAAAAGGAAAATTAAATTGACTTTTGCACTATGTTGAAGTGTCTGTTTCTGTGCATAGGAATTTGTTTTCCATGCTTCTAGTTATCACTAACTTGTACAACTTTTGCAAAACTATTCAGGTCAGTCTATTTATACTGAGTGTGAATAATACAGTCCAGGTGTTGAACAAGGGAATCTGCTGCTTCTGATGTTGTTGGAGGAAAGGTTCTCTGTTGGCTGACAGAGATGAGAGCTTTTTGGATAACTTGGTATGGGGAAAAAACCACGATGTTTTGTAGTCAGATATTGTACAAATATTTAGTTACCAAATAAGCTTTGAAGGGATTAGTTTTAAGGAAAGCTCAGCTGTGTTGGATTCAAGATAAAATGAATATATTCTTTGCAAAGAAATCATGTTTGTTGTGAAATGACTTATCAAAATATTAAGTTGTCAGAGTCAGAGTGCCAGACTGGCACTGAAATTGAGTTTTCAGAGGATGCTAAAATTGTTTTGAGAGAATTGCATTCCAGACTTTCTAAAGAAAGCTTCAAGCTTTATAACATCACAGAGCATTTTCCTTGTTAAATTAGGTCAGAAAATGGACTTTTTTTTTTTTTTTGTCGGGCAGGTAATAATTTCATTATCAAAATCCAGAATCAACCAAACAGAGGGATAATTACTTTTTTGGATGTTACTAGAGGGCCACCTATGCTGTATCAAAAGCTAATGGAATTTTTTCAGTTGTAATGAAATAAAAAATAAATCTATTCCACTTGCAGGAGTTGAAAAACTTCTGATATTTCTGAAATTCTGAAATATTCTAGTAGAGAATATTTGTAATAATTTATTAACCTTTTCTGATGTATTTGGAATCCAAGACATTAAGGTTACTTAGAGTTTGCATTTCTCCTTCTCACTACCATGCTGTCACAGTTTTAAGAAA